CCCCCATGCTCGTCGTTCCCCTTTCCGGCAGCCAGCGTCGTCTCCCCATAGCCTTAAACTGAAGCTTGTTGCGATGGCTAATCAACAGGCCGACCAGACGCAGACGCACCGGAGGCTGGGTGCGGAAGAGCCGGAGGTGGAGAAGCGCCAAGGCACCGAAGCGATGAGCGGACTGTGATGAGGAGAAAGCTCTCCTATTAGTGGAGGGAAATGCTTACTGTACTGGCAGGACATGCCTCCAGGGTGCGACGCAGGCCCAGCTCCGATCATCCATGCGACGCGGCGCGCGCTGCCCCTTTCCGAACCTATTGGTACGAACGAATGGCAACCTATGTGTCAAGTTGTCAATTTGCCAAATGCTGTTGAGCGCTGGTGCTTCAACTAATCGCACTATCAACGAGTCGCTAGAAGGCCCCCCCACCCCCTCCGCCCCTAACGACACTGATTATTACTCGAGAGAAGAGCTGCTTGGGGCTCGCCCATCTCGTTTTGGGGTTAGTCGTAGACGGCAGTCAGTTTAAGCTTGTTTTCCTGAGGGGGGGGCTGACCGCATAACGTAGCTTCTTGATGAAGCCAGCCGTCCTACCCCAGCCCAGTTGAGACACAAGACAGACGTCAAAGCCAAGGCATGACCAAGCGAATCGAGCGCCAAGGTTAAGGTCAGAGAGCAATGATGGAAGATTCATTGGCTCCAGCTCAACCTTGGCAAGCCCTGTCTGCCTGCTGCTTGCTGCCGCTTGCCGCCGCCGCCGCCGCCGGCTTTCATTTGGATGCCATTTATCTCTATACCCCTCCCTGAGAAGCCGCGATGCAAGCCACCATTCATCAGACGTTCTCTCTTCGCGCACCGCTCCGGGACCCATGCAGTCTGCCGAGACTCTCTGCGGTACTTGGGGAACAAATTTCGCCAATATTTCCCACCCATTCTTCCCTGCAGGGTTGGGGCAATATGGCAGTTGGCACATATGTGCAGATGTTGTGGCGTCGTTGCGTGATGCTATGCGGGCCGACTCCCCCTCCCTCCACGACAAGGTCAGATTATCTTGGGCGGGGGGGCGTATGCCGCGGACGGTTATAGTCTCGACTGTGTCCAGGTCGATTCATTAACTGTCCCTGGTTATACCATCAAAATGCAAGATGTGTTGATGAAGCGCTGCCAAGCAAGACCCGGGTTGGCGGAAAGGCATTGTCATGGGGCCGCAGTATCCGTGACACATCTCAGCTGGTTCAAGGCATATCTACAAATCAAAGAAAAACGGTACGCTTTCAGCCTTGAGAGGGCTTGATTGGCTTCTCTGAGACTAAACTTGCCCCCAAACACCCCGCCACGCCTGCAAACCATATCTGAGCGTCTAGAGCTGCATGCATATCTCTTGGCCAGTTCTCGGCGATGGTCGTTTTTCGGAGGCAGCCAAGCCGCTCCGTCATACTCGTGCGCGCGCACCATGGTCTTGGTATCGCCAAGACGGAGAGTTGCACACGAGAAGCCAGAGTTGTTAATCTTCCTGGTCTTGGCCCCTCCCCTCTCTTGGGCCTCTCACGTCCCGTCCATCCTGCAACGGCTCAGCTCACGCGCAATTTCACATCATCCACTTCTATCAACACACAAGGACAAGACTGGGGCCATGGGGCCGACTAACCCACCAAATACCCTCCTGACACTTTTGTTCTTGTGTGCCGGGGACCACAGTAATCCAGCAATGCCAAGTTTGCCTCAACGGGTTGCTGATCCGCGGTCAATCTTGTTACTGGTATGGGCCAAGAAGGAGCGAGAGGACAGCGAAAGCCGTGAACTACTGCTGCTTATTTACATGCAAAAGATTCAAATTTGCTTACAGGTACTCGGCGCATACGGCATTCGCTGTATTACGGGGCGGCTGTACGTCAACAAATCCTTCCATCACCATATCCTGGAACCTCTTCGTTTAGGGGGATGCAGGTAATCATTCCTGTTCATCTCCCATGTAACGAGAGCGCAATTTTTGCCTCGCATCACCAACACCAAATCGGGGAGGCCGTAAAACAGCCCTGTCGGGCCAATGACACAGCACACATGGGCTTTGGCTTCTCGTCAAGAACGTCTGCGTTGCATGGTCTCGTGGGCGCGGCCTGCACGCAGGAGACGGACACACAAGGCAGGAAGAAGCTCAGCCGCATGACGTATCCTAATCAGAGACTAGATTCTACGAGGCAAAAAAAAATTAAAAAAGAAAAAAAGAGGAAAAACAACACAACACAGAAAGGCCTCGCCCCTGTTCCATTATGCTTCATCGCCAATAGTTGACTTGCGCTCTGTCAAGGGTTCCCATACCAGCGGGGGCGGGGAAGACGTCGATGGAGGAGGGGGCGTATGGTCGTCTTTTCTTGTTTTTCTTGGCGATATGGCAAGCATGACTACTTGGTTGGGCAGAGAGCTGAGAAGATTGCCTTCTCAGCGGGGTCCCGTCGTGCATTTTGCAACTTGAGCGCGAGGCGAATGCGACGTCGGCCATGAACACCAGCGAAGCTTGGCCATGCTGCCGGAGAGGGCACATATGTCGCTGCTGTTGCATCGTATCGTCCCCTCCCCTCTTCAAGGGGCATGGTGGGTTTCTGGCACCTTCATTTGTAGGCAAGACGCCCACCATGCGGATACTGGCCGATGTCCTGTCACGATGGACTGGATCGGGAGCCCGGCGCTCCCATATTTGACGGTAACTACTGACTGGCTGCTTTATTGAAGCAAATTTAACGCTGCAGTTTTTTTCTTTTTATCAGGCTCTGCCGTGGAAGTAGCCACACCTTAACCGAGGCGGCCCGTGTTGAAGCGGCTCCTCTCTCGGAGGGGGGGGGAGGGGTGTGGTGCGGCACTCGCAACAGTTGACGATTGACGAAAAGAAATTGACGCCCTTGTTCAAAAATAGAGGTATATTCGTTTCACGATGTCTTATTCCAAGGGCCGCAATGCCATTGAAGGGCGAGCAGGGGCTTGGGGTCTCGACTTGTGTAGATCGGACAAAGCTGCAACTTTTGACTCGGCGATCCGATGGGCCAAAGCCATCGTCGCCCCCTCGCTTCTCGGAGCGACCTGACTCGGGGGCGATTTATTCAACATCCCCAGGAAATAGACGCCAAAAAAACGCCCCGAGCTAATCTCCTACGAGAAAAATCCCGGTCTAGGCCCCAGCCACGCTCTCTTTCGTATACGACCAACAGTGCGGGACTTGTGCCATGTGGGAAGACACAGGGTATCGTACCGTTTTAAAGTTTAATGCTTTTTGGGAGACGAAACAAGAACCGAAAAAAAAACGCAAAAAAGAGAGATTGATAAGGTCGTGGTGACACCATCCTATTTCGAACATGGTGAAGAAAATAAAACAAAGGGCCACGCGTCGCCGCGGCCAGTGGAACCTAGGGTCCCAACTTCGTCGAGAACTCCTCACCCCGACACCACCCGCTACAGCGAAAGGGGGTGAGGCATGTTATGGGAGAAATCGGGATCCCATTCATTTAGCGTTTTGCGATTATTGCAACGGCTTGCGGTCTAGCCTGACAAGTCGGACGGGTGAAAGGAACGGGAAGAAGGCCGGCACGGCACGGGCATTGATGGATGACTTTTGCTGCATTGGGCCGGAACTGCGCATTCGGTCCGACGATGCAGCTTTTCAAAGGGGTGTCCGAAGAAGAGAGGGATCAAGAAGAGGAAGAAGTAACCAATAAAAGGTAAAGGAAAACTTGTCTCAAAGTAATATGTCAGCGATTGGTCATGACGAGTTCCATCGCGGGATCGACTTGGGCGACTTGACCGCGTGACCACTTACCCCATGCGTAGTCGGGCCAGGATTTCCGAAAGAGAAAGGAAAGACGTAAAATCCTTCCGTGAGATGCTGAAAGATTGCTTCGGCGAATGAGAGATTTAGGGTAGGCGTTGTTGTCAAGCAGTCGTCGCAGCCTGCCCCGTCCGCCCGCCCGCCCAGCGTGTAGGCGCCTTTCATCAGGCCAATGACGACGGCGCAAGCTTGCATCTTGACTCTAGAATCTCGCGACCCAATGAGGAGGGGGAGCGGGTTTGAGAGAGGTGGTGGACGGCAGAGTGCACAAATCCAACACCGACGTCGACTTGACGAGACAGGGTCGGTTCAGGACCTTGCCGTCGTCACTCACAACTCCCCTCCCATGCCTCGCCGCGATCGCAGACTTGTCAGGACACGTATAAGCACCGAACGGTACATCGCTCTCGGGAGCTCGCTACTGCTTATAACTTGACTCTTCGCTCCGCTGTCACCGTAAGATTCGCCCCGCATGTCGCATGACCAGCACCGGATTGCATTGGCAGCTCACGGGAGGTCGACCAACACGACGTCCCCTTGTGACATCATTTCTGAAGCGCTGGGTTTTTAGAATTATGCATTTACTATATTTACACTAATTCATATACATATATAGATATAAGATGTACATATAGATGTATCTGTCTATGCCTTGGCCGCGTATCTGACCATGAATCATTTTTTCCTCTTTCCCTCGCCCATTTATATAAGTCACGTAGCCAGACTTCAAGACCAGTCACGAGCGGGATGAGCATAGTAAGACGACTTGTGTATTATCAAGAAAATTATTATTACCGTCATGTTCATGAAACTTGCAAATCCTCCTTACATTTGCATTGAAGCAGTGTCCTTCTACGAGAACACCGCGTTAACCCTGGGCCGCTCACGACCACACTCACTCCAAAAACCCCCCTTCCTTCCCTTTCCCTTCGCTCCCATATCCAAGCCCAAAAAATGAGATCCAACTCCATATAAATAAATAGAAGAAACGGGAGTATAAGTATATAAAAAATGGCGAGAGAAAACGGAAATGGGGTATAATGCCTATTTTTTGTTGTAAAAGAGGACAAAGCGGAAAGCATCAGCGTACAGTGTATAGTTGCACACATCGCTCAGTATCAACACTTGGCTGATATACAAGGCCAGCTATCAATACACGCTGATTCGGAACTGACGGCATCGTAGAAAAGATGCCATGCCCAGAATGCGGAAACTTTGTGTAGTTGGTTTGTCGAGGATCAAGACGAGGACATCGAAAAGTGGGGCCAAAGACGCTCGCTCAAAACGGAGGCAGTATCTGGGAGCGACGGCGAGTATTCAGGCTGGTTTGAATAATAGAATATAAAGGGGCAGTAATGAGAGAGAGAATGATGTTGTTGGCTCTCATGACAGTTTTTGGCTGCGTGATGCCTTGGTACGCGGACTGTCCGAATTAGGCAACAGGCCCGTAACTTGCGTGGCTCTGATTGGCTGTTGGCTGCCCGCCTGACTTTGTCTCGCGGACGCATCGATTCTTCTTCCTGGAGGGAAATGGAAAAAGGGTCATCTGCTTTGCGACCTGCGCTTTGTGATTTTCCATGTCAAGCACGGGACAAAAGCCGCAGCTTGCCCGCTGGAGTCACCACGAAAATCTCCTCACAAACAGCTTCACAGAAACGCGATGGTGAGAGACTGGCTGGGCTCTTATGCTCGAGACCCGCCGTCACTGTACCCTGCACCGTTATACATGGGCGGCGCCGCGTGGCCGTGCTGCGACGACAGGCCCGAGTAACTCTCGGCGTAGCTGGCCGGCGCGGCATCCCATCGCGGGGGCGTCGAGGCCGCGCCGGTCGGGTGCTGGCTGATGGGCGTGTGCAGCCCGCTGTGAGGGTGGCCGCCGTAGCCACCGGCGGACCTGGTGTCATATGTGCTGACGGCCGGGAGGACGCTGGTGTTGATGCGCATTGGTGGTGGCGCCGCCTGGTGGTGAGGGCTGTGGTTTCGCAGGCCGCCGGGGCTGAGGGTGCGTCCGACGCTGGGATACGAGGCGGTTGTGTACGGCGTCCAGCCGCCAGCCTGCGAGCCAGACAAGGATCGCGGCGACGGGATGGCGTCGTGATGGCCGCCGGACGTGATCGAGTACTGGCCGTGCGGTTCGCCGTGGTGCGCGGAGATGTGCTGCGCGGCGGTGGGTGGCGTCGGCAGCGCTCCGTACGGGCCCGGGTTCATCGGCCCGTTCATGCCACCCGGTGGCCCGGCCCCCGGCGGCACCTGGCTACTGGGGCTTGCGCTGTACTTGCCGATGATCTTCTTGAGCGCGCCCTCGAGGACCTTCCACGGAAACACCTTGACGTCCTTTTCAATGTTACGCGGCTTCGGGTTCGGGAATCCCATGATGAGCTTGAAGAACTCCTCGCTGTCAGGCTTCGCCTTGGAGACCGTCAGCGGGTGGAATCCTTCGAGGTTTCGGCGGATACGGTTCTTCTCTTCAACGCTGAAGCGGTTCGGCGCGGCGACGAGTTGTTCGAGGAGCTGGATGGTGTCGACCGACGTGACGAAACACTCGTTCTTCTCGGCCCAATATATGCACGATACGCAGATGCTGTTTTGCGGGCGCTCATTCACGGGCACGGCGCGGAAGTCAGCCGTCAGAGTCGATCCGCTCTGGGATTTCCGGAAGACGACGATTCGACGGCGATTCTCCCATTCCTCGTGCGTCCAGTTGTCCACCATGGAGTCTAGTTTACCTTGAATCTTCAAGACGGCCTTGGTCGCGTAGAGAGAAATGGCAGCATACTGGTTCCCTGCGCCGGCTCCGCTCGTGATGGTGCTTGTACGGATAAGCGCGGGAGCGTTTCCTGGGGGCGCCGACATGGAGCTGGGGGTCAGGCTGCTGCGTCCAATTCCGTCGAGACCACCGATAGAGTTCCGGGTGCTGCCGAGCGGCGTGTTGAAGCCGTTCCATCCTAGTGAACGGCGCCCGTAGCTAGAGTCGGCGAAGCTGTTACTTCTGTATGTTATCATGTCGCTGGGCTGTGGCGGAAATGTCGTAGCGTAGGATGCAGGCTGGGAAGAGTAATCGTAGCTATTTGTAGCAGTCTCGGGATTGATTTGGGGCTCGCCAGATTTCGGTGAGTGACCCGGCTGATCGACGGCGTGCGTGCCAGGTGCGCCCGGCTCGGTCTTGGGCAGCTTGTCCGGTCTCGTGACGCCATCTCCGGACCCTTCCAGGTACTGGAAGTGCCCTGCAGTAGTCCTCGAGATCTCATCGCCCGTTGGGCCTTCGATGACTAGTGACAGAGGCACGCTGCTGGAGCTGCAGCCCGTGACTAGTAACTGCGGCGCATCGGCGCTGCACGAGTAGATGAAGCCTGAGCCGTCATGCGTGTCTCTCGCCACGTCCTGCATCGGGCATCTCTCGTTGCCGAACTGCAGGAAGAAGTATGGCATCGGCGACGACATGGAGAACAATTCGTACTGGGCTGAGATCTTCAAATAAACTTTGGTGCCGAAGATGCCGGACGATGGTTGGCAGGACGACACGACGGTCGGCACCGTGCCAATATAGGGAGTGACTGCATGGTTAGAGCCAAAGGCTTGCTGGTTAAGCTGAGCGAACTTGTCCGCTTGCTGGGAAGAAAAGGGCTGCTGATATGGCTCCAGCGTGGAGTCTTGGTATCTTGGTTGGTCGTAGCCTAACAGCGTCTTGTTAGTATTCGCCTTCCTTGCTTGGTGTTCTTTTGCGCTTCAGGCAGCCACGACTTCAGATCCCAGGTGGTTGATTGCCCGGTTGCTGTCTCTCTGTCATGTGCGGCAGGGCAAGCGGCGCAGCGGGGAGGGGCCGACAGTGTCATACCGGGTATCGAGGGCAATGATGGTTTGCTGTAAGCTGCCATCTTTTGTCGAATCGCTTGGGAGGCAACTCGCTGCTATGCACTCAAACTTTCCGTCTGGAGATGGGGCAACGCGCGCGATGCTAGAACGTTCTCCTTTCCGATACTGGTGATCTGTCTCGGAGGGTCCCTTTCACTAGTTGGCGCGTCGTGTCAGTCATGGTCGTTGTGTAGCCGCAGAGAGGACAAGACGACCGGTCAAGGCTACAAGGGCGTTGACTTGGGCATCGTCCTCACGCATGTTTCGTGATGAACTCACATGTTGGGATGACCAAGGTTGAGTTGCTGCTGCCCGCGCGGGGGAGACAAAGTGGTGACAGGTGTCGTTGAGTGGAAGGAGGATGAAGAATGCAAACCACTGTCTTGGGAAAGAGAAGGGCTACACGAACGGTTTAAACCAGGTCTCGACGAAAGGTCTTTGACGGGAGGGAATGAGTCGCACTAATAGGGACTCCCTGGCCTCTAGTACGCTTGCGTTCGGAGATTTGATTTGCGACAGGGCCCCAGAGACTAGGAAGGAGCAAGTCGAGGCTGGTGGTGCTTGTGCCGTGCAGTGAGTGTAGTGTCGAGCCTGTTGTGATGTCGCGCTAGTTTCTTCTTTCTCGCTGTCTAGGAGAAGGGGAGGGGAGATGGGGGGCTGGGTGAGACAGTGTATGGGTCTTGAGAGCTGGTAATGGGACGGAGCAAGGTCCTAGCAGTGGCGGAGGGGCGTTCCGATCCAACGCAGAGACACTGGCATTCCAAGAAGAGAAGATCAGTAGACAGAGTTGGGGGAGCCGGGGGAGGGTGCTTTCCTCTTCTGCCAGAGGTGCTCCTCGAATGGGGGAGGCGGTGTCTGAGAAGCAAGAGAGATGTGTGGGTGCGGGCCAGGTATCCGTGGTCAGTGTCTCATTGGGGTCCAGGGACAGATAGAGAGAGAGAGAGAAAGAGAGAGAGAGAGACAGAGAGACGGAGAGACAAGAGAGATAGCAAGTTCTTTCGAGGCTGGGGTCTGGTCTGGGGGAGGAGGCGTTGTCTGATCTGGAGTATGCGGTAGGGACGAAAGATGACAGGCCGGCGAGGGAAAAGGTTGGTTTGTGACGAGACGGAGAGGTCAACTGGTAATCACTGATGAATAACGTTGGGTTAGCATTCTTTTTTAACCGCAATGGCTGTAAGGTAGTGTGGATGATGCAACGGCTCAGGCAGTCCACAACGGGCCAAGGCTGGGCTGCAAGTGGCAAGGGGAGGTGAAGGAATGGAAATTACCATGGAGATCACATTACCAAGATGGGCGAGGGACGATTATGGTCGATTTGGGGCTAAAAGAAGCGCACTTACCCAGATGTGAAGATGGTCGAGGTATCCTTCGGATGTCGCCTCGCCAGAGCGGTACGTGTGGTGATGTGGTGGAGTCGGGATGCTGCAAGTGCGAGGCTATTCAAAGGGAGGGAAATGAATGTCAGTGAAGTCAAGTCAAGGATGGCATCTTAGACGAAAATCGCTAATAAAAGGGAACGGTGCGGCCGGGTCCAAGCGAAAGAAGACAGGATAGGCAACTAGCTTATAGGAAGTAGTAGGGAGGAGGCGGTGGGTAGCGGGTGGTGAGAACAAGGCCAAGTCAGGAACAGCATAGACTGGTGTAGGGCAGTGGGCCAAAAACGAAATCAAGAGATTCAACGGTCTGTCGTGTGGATAATTAAAAAAAAAAAAATCGAGGAGTTGTCGTCGAGAGAGGAGTGAGGAGGAAGGGGGGTGGCGCTTGGTGGTGGATGTGGATGGGGATGGGATGCTTTCTTTTGGCGGACTGGATGGATGGCGCTATGCAAGCTGTGGTGTTTTTGCCTTTCTTCTTGCTTTCTTTCCTTTGAGTTAGCTTGACTAGACCCTGTGGAAAAAAAGGACGTGCGCTCAAGATAGGATGAGCTGCGGTTGGCCCTTTTTAAATGACAGCTGCGAGGGGATCAGTCTTCAGGACGGGCAGGCTTGTTGGTAGGAAGCAAGCAGCCCGTCGAAGCAAGTGGTGAGGGCGGCCGATGGAACGCCACGCAGACAAGGTTGGTTGGGATGCTTGTTATCCAAATCATGGCTTTCCTTTTTGCTTGCTTGCTTGCTCGCAAGAATCCCTTTTGCACATCCAGGTTCCCCCTCCCCTCCCCTCCCCTGGTCAGGGCAACCCCCAACAACCCAAAAAGAGCAATCCAGACGGATAACATCGAAAAACTGGGCTTGCCGATGATGGCTTGGGCCTAGTGCGGATGGATGGATACTCTTTGGCCAGTTCTTAGTCGACGCATTTGCCATTCCCCCCCAGAAGAGAGGAGCCAGTGTTCCCGCTCTGGCGCGGCGCGGCGCTGCCACCACCGTTGAGATGCGAGATGGGCCTTTACCAGTTCTGTTCATCATAACAGCTTTTCCCAGCGAAAGCCCAGAGGGATGATGCAAGGGTGACAAGGGTGACAGGCGGGCGCCAGGCAGGGATATCTACTGTAGGCCCGGACCAGCCAGCAACCAAGGTGGTGTTGTGGTGGAGAGGTGGGAATCACAAGGATCACATCACCCCCTCCCTCTGGTCTGCCTTCTCCCCCAAGCTGCAGCTATCATTCTGCCTTTTTTTGAGTTGGCTGCTGTGCATGTCGAGTTGGATAGTGTCTTGATGAGGGTAGATCGTGGGGATGAATAGTGTGCTGTGCCTGTCAAGGAGTCTGGTTTTTCTGCCACTACTGAGTAGGTAGTGTGTTATTAGCTTACTTGCTTTCTTCCTTTAATTCTTTCTGAGCTGCTGATAATCAAGCCAGGCGATCGTTGCGCTTTACTACCAGTAGTCCCACCGGGCTTGATCTACCCAACTGTCGGAACGCGAAGAACCGGCCCTCCTCGTTCATCCAGCACGAGCCAACGAGCTCTATTCGGCACCGGACCCCCAACATGACCAGTACGTACTGATATGCAAGGCAACTCCAAGGTGGGCTTCCAGCTTGGACCTGGTCCAACCAGACCAGCCATCGCCGTCCTCAGCGTGGAGAAGACAGTGCCACGGGCAGGCTATTCGTCGTAGAGACCGGGGCGGGGGGGGCTCGCTGAGAGATCAACATACATGATTGACTTCTCCACTGGGGCGTCATCTCTGTCAGCGGTGGGTGGTAGATGAGTTTTGTGCAGGCCAGCAGCGCCAGCAGCCTGCTGTGGCCGTGCCGTGACGTTATCAAGAATGAACCACACACACATACACACACACACACGCCTGTTATTGCCTTGCAAGCCATCCATCCCTCAATTCATCCTGTACCAACCAGGGCTTGGCCGCAATTATTCGGCACCACTTGAGAGCTGAACCAGCTCCCCGGTGCCAGCCAAGATGCTGCTTCCACATTGTCTTTGATGCTGATCCTTGCGCGCCGATGCAGCAGCAGCAGCAGCAGCAGCAGCATGATGTAAGTGACAGCCAGATTTAGATGATAGATAGGTGAACCGAGAGAAATGAGAGATGTGCAAGAAGAAAGGGGAGGAGGGGAAGGGGGCCACTTTGCTTGCCGCCGCCGCCACGGCTCATCTGTCCGCCCGTCCGGGGAATTCCAGCAGTGTGGGCCAAGAGAGAGAGTGAAGTCCCAACGTGAAAAGAGCTCTCACTAAGAATTCAGAAAAAGCACTTTCAAGAGTTTGCTAATAATCGAGCCGCCTGAAATTAGCGCGAGTTGTGGTCACGGATACTGGTCGTTGATGCCTGCTTGCTCCGGTGAGAGATAGTTCGGCCCAAGGGCAAAAGGCGTTGTAATCTTAAAAAAAAAAAAAGGCAGACTTTTTCTTTTTTTTTTTCTTTTTTTCTTCGAGATGAGAGAGAGGAATAGCAAGGGTGACCGGCAGACAGACAGACAGACAGACAGACAGGCAGGCCAGCCAGATGGGGTCATGCGAGGACCGGGCAGCAGAGGAAAAAGCAAAGAAAACGAAGGGAAAAAAAAGAAAATAAACAAGAGAATAAGAGAAGCCGTGCACCCGCAGAGCTGGGAGCCGCAGAATGCGAGCGAAATTAAACTCGAATTACCACTCTCCACTCTGCAAGCCACAGTTTGCAGCTCTTTTTTTTTTTTCTTCTTCCTTCTTCTTCTTCGTCTTCGTCTGCTTGTCTCTGCCGATTGTGATAGACGGTCCGGACGGAGCAGACCGGAGTCTTTTTTGCATGCTGAGATTGCGGCCCGCATTGGTTGATTACCAGTATAAAGTAACTTACATATGTATGTACATAGGTACTGATATGATGAGCGCGGCCCTCTTCCGCGTGTCCATCAACTACCGAAGATCAGAGCGATATTCCGTAAAAACTCTTCAGAAAGACGTGATGAATCCTCTTGATCCTACCATCGTCAATCCTTCAGGTGGTGCAGGCAAGCAAGGTATTGGATGCAGGTGGTGTTAATCCCGAGATCAGCAGACCTTGCAGAAGCCACAGCGCAGGCCCGCAGCGCTTCCCCCGGATGCTGGCTGTGATACCACATCGTAGGAGGACCAGTGACTTAGTCGTCAGTACAACAAGCCTTGTCGTCTGTCTCTCTCTCTCTCTGCCTCCCTTGTCCCTTCTATTCCGTACTTGGACCCCGTCATTTTTGATAGCTTGATTTGTCCCACAGATCTGGTGGTGCCTAATACTGGTACTGCTACCATACCCAGCCAACCAACCCCCCGGAGAGACCAAGCGGTGGTAGGCGAGAAACAGGTGTTGTTGGATTGGATTGTATAATCAGTGCTGGTAATAATAAGAGAGCGCAGGAATTGCATTGTTCGGCAATCGCAGGCATCATCACGGCATATCTGTTCTTTTTTCCTTTTTTTTTTCTTTTTTTTTTCAGTTTTTTTTTCAGAGTGTCATTTTTGTAATGCTCTTTAGGCACGCACCACAAATCTGCAGACCGACCTCTCCGACGCGCCCGGCAGGCTGCATATGTTGGACCATAACACCAGATTAAGCAGGCTCTGAGTTGTGTAGTGTAATAAGGTAGCGTTGTGTTGTGTCCTGCCATGTTGTG